CCCCAAGGCTGCTCCCTCCATCCCTCCAACTTGCTGCCCACACAAACCCCATCTCCCGCAGCACCACCCTCCCCAGTCCTCCTGGACATCTCCTTTCATCCCCCCTCCCCAAACCGCCACGAAAGCGGTTACAGACCAGGGGAGAGAAGCAAGAAGCCCGTCCCAGGTGACGCTCACCCCAGCCCCACTGTCCCAGGGGCTGAGCCCATGTCCTGTCCCAGCAGCGGTGGGGTTAAGCCTGACCGGGCGGGCGGCTGGACAGGCGTCAAGGTGGTTGCTCCATCCATCCCTGCACAGGCGGCGGGGCCGGAGAGCAGAGAGGGAGCGCTGCCCTGCCTGCCACCATGAGCGCAGGCAAAGGTAAGGCAGGGGAACCTGCCCGCTCACCCAGCCCCGGAGGGACGGGCAGGGCAGGGGGTTGGAGGGAGGGACGCTAAAATTCTGTTGGGGCTTCGCACTCAAGTCACTGTTAGCTTTTCTCCCCCCTCCACTGCTAATAAGGCATTTTGGGAGCCCCTGTGCTGCCTGGGGGGGGGCTCACAGGCAGCTGGGCAGAGCCCAAGCCTGGATAGGGGCTGCAGGGGTGGACAGAGGCCACAGCACTAAGACCCCCTTGGCTCTGAGGAAGAGCAAGGTAACGGGGGGTGGCAGGGGAGGAAGGAGGAGAGGGGACTGGGGGCCTTTTCCCCATGAAAGGGAGAAGCTGCGTGTAAAGGGATGAATTTTGGGGGTCCATGCACCCGAGGGGTCTGAGCGGGGGCAAGAGTGAGGGGTGATCCCACACCCTCTCCCAAGGGCAGATCCAGCCTCCACAACCTCCTGCAGCTGCCCAGTGCGTGCAGTGGGCTGGGACCGACCCCTCCACCGCCCCCATCGGGGGGGGCACCCAGCGGGGGGGGGCCCTAGAGCAGCCACAGCCCCACGCTGACAGTGTCCCCTTTCCTCTGCACTGCACAGCGGGCGTCACCCTCCTGCTCCCCCTGGCCCTGCTGCTGGCCACCGCCTCCCAGCTCCCCGGGGGGGACACCCCAAAGGACCAGGGGGACACAGACCCCCCACGCTGCCCCAGCCCTTGCGCCTGCAGCTTGGACGACTACAGCGAGGAGCTCAATGTCTTCTGCAGCACCCGCAACCTGACGCGCCTGCCCGAGGATGTGCCCCCCAACGCCAAAGCCCTTTGGCTGGACGGCAATAACTTCACCCTGTTGCCGGCCACCGCCTTCAGGAACCTCTCGGCCCTGGACTTTCTGGACCTGCAGAGCAGCCAGCTGGCTGCTGTGGAGCAGCACGCCTTCCACGGGCTGCGGAACCTCTACCACCTCCACCTCGAACGCAACCGTCTCAAGCACTTGGCTCCCCACACCTTCCTGCACACCCAGAACCTCGTCTCCCTCAGCCTCAACAACAACCACTTCAGTAAGGTGGAGGAAGGGCTGTTCGCCGGACTCTCCAACCTCTGGTATCTGAACCTGGGCTGGAACTCGCTCGTGGTCCTGCCTGACAAGGTCTTCCACGACTTGCCCAACTTGAGGGAGCTGATCCTGGCTGGGAATAAGCTCCCCTACCTCCAGCACCAGCTCTTCTGCAGCCTTACTGAGCTGAAGGAGCTGGACTTGAGCGGCAACGCACTCAAAGGCATCAAGATCAACATCTTCATCAAGCTGCAGAAGCTGCAGAAGCTGTACCTGAACAACAACCAGATCAATGCCATCGCACCCCGTGCCTTCATGGGCATGAAGTCCCTCCGGTGGCTGGATCTCTCCCACAATCGTCTCACCTCGCTGTTTGAGGACACGTTTCTGGGCCTCCTGAGCCTGCACGTCCTACGCTTGTCCACCAACTCCATCACCAGCCTGAAGCCCAGGACTTTCAAGGACCTCCAGTTCCTGGAGGAGTTGCAGCTGGGGCACAACAGGATATGGAGCCTGGCAGAAAGGACCTTTGATGGGCTGGGCCAGCTGGAGGTCCTCAGCCTCAACAATAACCAGCTACAAGACATCAAGGTAGGGGCGTTCCTGGGGCTGTACAATGTGGCGGTAATGCATTTGTCTGCAAACTGCATCAAGGTCCTCCCCAACTACGTCTTCAAGGGGGTCACCAAGTTGCACAGCCTCCACCTAGAGCACAGCTGCCTTGGCAGAATCCAGGCCAACACCTTCTCCGGCCTCTCCAGCCTGCGGCGGCTCTTCTTGCAACACAATGCCATCTCTGTCATCGAAGACCAAAGCTTCAGTGAACTGCATGAGCTCCTGGAGCTCGACCTGAAGCACAACAGGCTGAGCCACCTCTCACCCCAGCTCTTCGTGGGTCTGAGCAACCTGGAGTACCTCTTCCTCTCCTCCAACCAGCTCCTGGAGATCTCCCAGGACACCTTCAGCCCGCTCCAAAGACTCTTCTGGCTCGACCTCTCCCATAACCGGCTGGAGATGCTGGACAACACCATCATCTCCCCCCTGGCCAACCTGCGGTACCTCAGCCTGAGGAATAACTCGCTGGAGACCTTCTCAGTGGGCTTCCTCTGCGCTTCCTTTGCCCTGGAGCAGCTGTGGCTGGGTGGCAACAACTGGCACTGCAACTGCTCCCTGAAGGGCTTGCGGGACTTCTCCCTGCAGCACCCCGTGGTGGTCCCACGCTTCGTGCAGTCTGTGGCCGAGGGGGACGACACCCACATCCCAGTCTACACCTACAACAACCTCACCTGCCTCCATCCCCCAGCCATGGCAGGCCTGGACCTCCGTGACACCACTGAGGACAGCTTTGCTCACTGCTGAGGAGCGCTGGCCCCTCCCAGGGGACATGTCGCTTCCCGGCCGTGGACCCTCACCCGCCACCTCCCTGGCCCAGGCTCCGCAGGACAGCAGCAGGAGCTCTGGCTCTATGGCCACCCCAGATTAGCCCAGCTTTGCCACCGCCTCCAACTGCCTGTCTTGGTGCTGCCACGGAAGGAGAGCCGTGCCCGGGCGATGCTGGATAAGCACCAGCTCCTCAGGCTTCAAACTGAAATATTTCAGACCTTAAATATTTAAGTAGCAGCCCTCGGGTCAGTGCAGCCGCTCCTGGTGCCCATCAGGAGAACGAGCATCTCTGAGTCTCTGGGATGGGGGAAAGCTGCACCCCGTGCCTAGAGCCCTCCCTGGAGCGAGGGGCATGCCTCCAGGGCCAGGACTCACCAGCTGGACAAAGCAAAAATACCTTCCTGCCCCTGAGCAGCTCCAAAATCCTAAAAGCCCCGAGCTCCCCGATAGGTTTAGGGAAGGGGGCAGACGACTTGTTTTAATCATTCCTTACACTAGCAGGTGTAGGCAGGGTGCAGAGCGCCGCACACGTCACTTACCTGATAAATCGCAGCAGACAAATAAACCTTTGGAGCTATCGCAACCCATCTTGTAAGTATGTTTTTTCCAAAGCATGTGCTGCACCCAGCCAGGGTTTCTTATCGGAGCCCCTCAGGGCTTGCAGACACCGGGTGAGGAGCGCAGGCTCCCCAGGGTGCTGGAGGAGCTAGCAGCAGGTTTTCTGCAAGTGCCGGGTGGGTGGCAGGCGCCCAGGGAGGGAGCGAGGTGCTCAGCCATCCTGCAGAAGCCAACAGCCCCGTCGGACTCCGGCGTCGCTGCCCAGCTCTCCAAATCCCAGAGAAGTGACCAAAGGTCAGGCAAAATTTTCCTGGAAAGTTGCACACAGGGGGAGAAACCTGGTCAGGTGCGAGTCCTCACTGTGGGCGCGGGGACAGATGCTCCTCCTGCTCCCCTCCAGATGACGGCTGCCAGCTCTAATCCAGTTTGGTGAGTGGAAAGCTGATATTTCCTCATCTCCCCAAAACAGCCCAGGCAAGGGTGAGTCCCAAGTGTGGAGAGGGCACAAAGGCAGGAGGGGCTCAGATTCCAGGTGGGAGGGAGATAAGATGCAAGGACACCACCTTAATTTGCTTCCCCAGCTTAACTCAAGCCTGCAAGAGGAGGGCAGGTCCCTCGGGAGCAGCAGCTCTGGGGCCATGGAATGTGGTCCAAGGGAACAGGACACTCACAGCGCTACGGCAGGAACCACCTGGGGACGCGGAGGAGCTCCACGTGTGGCATGGGGGTGGAGAACAGCTGTGGCAAAGCACCCCACAAAGGACGGCCAGGGCCAGCTTTCAGCAAGACAAAGGACCAGCTGGATCTTAAAGCTGGTATGGAAGGAGGAAGGATTTAGCTGAACCCTAGCAAGGAACCCAGGGAAAAGCAGGGAGTACCTAGAAGTACGTGAAAGGCTTGAAACACCAAGACTCCCAGCTACCATGAGGCCTGAAGCCACAGTAAAACCTAAGTCACAGACTTGGATTTTAAGAAAAGCGTTTACTGCCTGGAACCTTTAAAAAACAAATATTCCCGAGTCACAATAACCCCCAGCAGACCAAAAAGGCCTTGTTCCAGCACAGCGGGATGCAGCCCTCAGACAGGCGGCAGATCTCCTAAAGACATTTTCTCCTGTGAAGCGCACGCCGTGCCCTCACCGGCCCGTCAGGAACCAGCGACCCGAGGTTTCAGAGCGAGCTGGCCAGGCTTGGGTCCACACCAGAGCATCCAGCATGAGCTCACCAGCCACTGAACCAAGTCCCGTACAACCAGTCACGCAAGGAAAGCGGGAGAAGGCAGCAGCACACGGAGCCACAATCTGGATGATCGGTGCTGCCTGGGGTCACCGAGGGAAGAGCAGCCGGTGGCGTTTGCCGTGCTGGCTGCACCGGGCAATGGCCAGAAGCACGGCAGCGTGCGAGACGCCGCAGGCATGAGCTAGAGCTGCCCAAGCACCCACACAACGGCCGGGATGCGTGGGTAGGGCTAGGAGGAGCTGCACCCTCTGGGCAGAGCAAGGGGCAGGCTGCACCGTGCAGGCAGGACCGCCCGCGCAGGGTCTCTTCAGATCCAGGGGGATGGAGCAGTGCCTCCCTTTTTGGATCACCCCAAGCGGCACCGATGCTGTGCTCCCCCCTCCCTCACCCCCCTGCTGAGACAGGGTGAGAGTTAAACAGCTTCTGCATCGCCCTTCCCCGCCGGCACGTGCTCCTGGTGGGGCTGCCTGGCCGGGGGCTCAGCCAGCAAGAGTCCAGCTCCGCACCCTCCTTAGGGGCTCTGCTGCGACGTCCCATCCAAGATCTGCTGGGCGATGTGAGCCAAGGCAGGGAAGGCAGAGCTCTTGGGAAACTCTTGGATGAAGTCCCTGCCTTCTTCCAAGCTCTGGCTGAGTTGGGGGTCCAGGGGAACACAGCCTGTGGGAGAGGAGGAACGAGGAGAGTGGCTGCTTGCTGCAAAGGCCTGGAGTCAGGATTAAAGAAATACTCTGCCAGAGTCACCTGCAGGAGAAGCAGTAGCAAACAGAGCAACCACTACCCTCGCTGAGCTCTCCAGGAGCTCCTTCTCACCTGCAACCAGCTTCCTCTGGGTCCAAGACCCACCCCCCACCACAGTGCTTCATGAGAGATGCTCCCCCCCCCCGATCCCAGTCCTGTCTGGAGGGAAGGGTTCAGCCCTCACTTCTCAGGAAGGCTCCAGGGCACTTCAGGATGGCTCTTGCGCAGCTTCAAACCCCCTTACTCTGTCAGCAGCACACCAGCAGCTAGAGCAGGTTGCTGATCATCACTGCCTCCGCCCCAGCAGGGCCAGATGCCCCCCCGAGCAGTCTGGATGGCAGAGAAGCAAAGCAAGAAACACACCTCACCTCTGACAAAGGTGCCAGGAGCTCACAGGGACTGGAGCCCCGCCTGCCCGCCCCTGTGCTGCTGCATCTCTCCGCTCAGGCACCACACAGACATCACCTCTAACCCCACAGAGCTCTGCTCAAGAGGCCACTCACCCAGGAAGGGGACCCCAGCGTATTTGGCCAGCTCCTCACCTCCCCCTTTGGAAAAGATGTTCGTGCACTCCTGAAGGAGGAAGAGCAAGAGCAGCGAGTCACAGACCCCAGCACCCTGCGCAGGCACGTGAGCAGAGCCAGCTCCCCTCCACCTCCCAGCCACCGGGCACCGCCTTCACCCCTGCCCAGCCCCAGCTCTCTTCAGGAAAGCGGAGCCAGTGGCTTTTCCCAAGGCTGACATGCAGCAGCCGGCAGCTTCTTGCCTCCGTGGCTCCCAGCATTGCCCTTGGGGCACTTGCCCGTTTCCCACCCGCGGTAGCCCACAGGTCCCATGCTCACCGAGCAGTGTGGGCACACAAAGCCGCTCATGTTCTCCACGATGCCGAGGACCCGCAGGCCCGTCTTCTTACAGAACGTCAGCTCTCGCCTCACGTCCCCCACGGACACGGCCTGCCGGGGAGAGCAGCAGAGGTCAGCGGGGTCCCTCTGCCCAGACTGGCCGTGGGTGTGGGGCAGGGGCAGGCATCCATCAAACAAGAGGCAGACGTGTAGGACGCAGCCACAGCCAGACCTGTGCAAACACCCGCCTGGGGTACGTATTCCTCCCCAGGAACTCCAGTTCAGCCCCAGCTGGCTGCCCTACCTGGGGTGTTGTGACCAGGACTGCTCCAAGGGGCTTGTAGGGCCGCAAGGCCTCCACCGTGGAGATGTGCTCGTCAGACGTGCCTGGTGGTGTGTCCACGATGAGGAAGTCCAGGTCCCCCCAGGCCACATCAGCAACAAATTGTTTGATCAAAGCTAAGGAAATAAAAGGGGGAAAAAAACCCAACCCCAAACCAATAAGTTTCAGCATGTGCCCTGGGAGTTGAGGGCCAAGGGGAGGAGTTGGGACGCACGCTGGGTGACAAGGTGCCAGGGTGAGCCGGCAGGGTATCTGTCAGCACATCCCTGTTCGAATGATCTGAGCCCACTCCTGCAGAGCAGGAGCCTTGTTCCTCCAAGGAATGACCTGCCCAGAAAAGCCTGGCTCCTAGCAGGAGCCAGCCCCACCTCCAGGAGGGCTCACAGAAGGTTCCTGGCACTGGAAGGCATCCACCAACAGCCAACCCCCAACTGTACCGTTTTTCTTGGGTCCTCTCCACACCACGGCATCATCCGGCCTCTCCAGCAGGAAGCCGATGGACATGAGGGAGATGCTCTTGTCTTGGTCCACAAAGACCGGGACCCAGCCGCTGTCGCACTGGTGCACGTCGCTGTCCTGCATCCCGAACATGCGGGGTATGCTGGGCCCGCACAGGTCCACATCTAGGATACCCACCTGCAGGGGATGAGGCAGAGCCCTTCAGCCGGGGCTGGACACAGCAGCAGCACCCGGCCACACTACTTCCCCGCATGGGGGGAGGCAGCGTCCAAATTTGAGCCCCTCGCAGCACTTTACAGAGCAGCCTCTGTAGCTCAGCAGCCAAATTGGAAAGAGTTTCAAAGAAGTGCTTTAAAGTTTGACTGCCCTCCCAGTCTCCTTCCTGCCAAGGAGCATCTCCTGGGTATTTCCAGGCTCTGGGGGGGCATCTTTTTGCCAGGCACTTGTCAGGATCCAAGTGGTATTGGCTGCGCAGAGCCTTTAAAAAAGTCCTCAGGGAAATCAGCCCGTCTCATGCCTGCACAGTTCCCCTTTGCCCCCACGGTAACACCACCCTTCAGCTCATCCACTTCGCTCCACAAAGGTAGCGAGAGTTACACTACAAACCAGCGAAGTCATTTCTCAGCACCTCCATTTCAAAACCAACAACAAATCTTGGCTGATTCCAGTCTCTTGGATGAAAGAGAAATGGATCGAGCAAAGACAGAAGAACGAATCACTTGAACTATGGTCACAAACGGCATTTTCACACAGAAAATCCACATGCTGCCCACGCAGGACATACACATACATAAAGGATGAGCAAAACTCAGCGCAGCTGGAGGTTGGGAAGGAGAAGACAGCTCAGCATCCCACAGACTCTGGCTCACCTTCTTCCCGGAGTGCCGCAGCGACAGAGCCAGCTCGGTGGAGATGGTGCTCTTCCCCACGCCGCCCTTCCCAGAGAGCACCAGCAGGATGTGCCGCACGCCGGCCAGGTTGCTCCTCTCTGGGGAGGGGGGGAACGATAAAGAGACCTCAGACTCTTCTGAGGCAAGACAGCAGCACCTGCCCAGCCAGTGCAGGGACACGGGGCTCTGCTGAGGGTGACAGTGGCCGTCGCTGCTCCAATGGGCCTGGTTTAAGTGTCAGGGAGAGGGAAGGCAGAGGCGGGTGTACCACAGCCCTTGTGCCATCAGAAAAGGGACAATAAGAGCAGTAAACAGCGGGCAGTAAAGGCTTTGTCCTGATGACCTAAGTGGCAATGAGGTAGCAAAGCAATAAACACCCCCGGGGCCTCGTCACGCCGTGCCTACACCAGGTGCAGCTCGAGCTCTCGGGGAACAGCCGGAGGCTGCTGGTGAGGTCAGGCCCTTGGCGTTTCCTTCCTCCGTGCCACACCAGCACACCACTTGCCTCCCCGCGGTCCCACACTCCTCTCCAGCCTTTGTGCCGTTCCTTGCTGTGTTGCCAGCACTGTTCGGGTCTCTGCTTTGGGCTCAGCCGCCGCGGCCCGTCAACGTGTTGCCGAGAGCAGGGAACGCTCAGGGGCGGTTTTCCCGGCCGGGGGCTGCACTGGCGGCAGAAGGTCAGACCAGACACTCCAGCTGCAGCCGAGCAAACACCACCCACGCACTCGGGCCCGCGTTCCCGGGTGCCCCGTCACCACCGGCCACTGACTCACCGCGCCAGGCCTGACCCGCCCCCGTGCCGCTCTGGCATCACACCGGCACCGGGAACGGCACCGGCAGCATGGAGCCCGCACGCACTATGGCAGACCTGATCCGCACCTCCACCGACGGTAAGGGCACTCGGCCCCGGTAATGCAGAGGGAGGGAAGAAGGGGGGCCGGGGAGGGGGGAGA